CCACACAAAAACCCCCCCCCCGCCCCCCACCCCACCCCCCCCACCCCTGGATGTCTGTGTATGGTGGCCGGTGTTGGGAGGGCTGGGCCGCGGTCTGGGCCTGTCTGTGGCTGTCTGTGTGCTGTCTGTGGCTGTCTGTGGGTGTCTTCATGTTTTACTATTACCCGTTTACAGCTACTAAATGGATTAGTAACAGACAGTGTATCTTAGACACAAGTTTTAAAAATTATTACAATATATTATTACTATGCTATATATGCTATATGTTATAATCCAACAGTTCAGGAAGTTTTCACATTTTTGCTTCGTAGAAGCAACGCTGACAAGCTTTCCTTCAATAATTAACTGAAAAACATTCGCGAACGCTCTATTTTGTAATTGATAGTAGTTTGCAACTAGATACAGCATTCAATCTTTTATGTCTTTGACTAATAGTAACAGTCACTACTATCCATATAGCCGTTATGAATAATCGATTGTTATAACTAATATTCATTCATATCTTTTTATTTATTTTTATGTTTTTCACAGTCTTCCAACATTCGTTTCATCGATTATCGAAAAATTATCACTAGACAATAGTTCGTCATCATTATTATCGACAAATGATACAGATAAAGAGAAACTACATAATTGTATTCAGGAAATATCTCGCCTTCGTACACAATCATCCGATAATAATATGAGTGATGAACAGCGAAACTGTCATGATTTACATAATGAATTAGAAATACGTTTGAAAGCTCATATTGACAGTTGTTTTTTACAATTACAAAAACATATTGATCACCGTTTAGATCATATATTAGAAGAAGTTCGTATGAACAATAATAATCTCCCAAAAAATGATTTAGATAAACAGATGTAACAGTGTTGATTTTTTTTTTCTATTTCTGGAACAATAAAAAAACAAAAATCGGTCTTACATTTTGTTTACATTGATTTTTTTATATTGTTATTTTTGACATTTATGTGATAAACAACTTTAGACATGAATGATGATAATTTTTTTTAAAAAAACAAAGTGTCGAATATTTTATATTTTGTACGTTATTATACTCTCTTGTTAAAACATATAATTTACTTTCAATTTTTCATAACATGGCGGCACGGTCAGATGCCTTTTCACGCTTCATTTTGGGAAAGTAGCATTTAGTATTTACTGACTAATGTTTAAACAAAGGAACGTATAGAGTTCTGAGACGCCTCATTTTGTAGAGAAAATGTTTGCTTTACAATTCTAGACATTCCACAACACTGTACGTACTTTTGTTCGAGTTATCTAGTCCTACCAATGGTTCAAATACGTAATTTAACTAGATCGTCCGATTTATCTAAAATCGATTGACTTCGTATGTATTGTTATGTAATTATTCTGAGTTCATTTTTTTTTATCTGAATTATCACGATTTATGTTACTGAACAGTAACAATCACTAATAAATACATAAAATGAATCGCCAATTCGAACAAACACATAATTAATCAAAAAAATAAATAAAAAATAAATAAAAAACATATTTATCATGCTTCGAATGATATATATATATATGTGGATGCATACCTCTGTATGATCGATCATTTTTATTCTTTATGAGTAGATCAATTAACTCTTTCTTCAATAAAAACGTCGTAATTTATTTCTAACATGCCACTGTTTCACAAAAACAAGACTTTTTATTTTGTTAATTATTAACTCGATTTTGAAAAAATGTCGAATATGATTAAACTCTTTCTTTATATGTTAACTTTGATAAACATGCAACATATCTAAATAGTATTATCTTTAGCTCAAACAACTAGTCAAATTATCAAATTTATAATCATTTTTATCTGATAAGAAAGTCACACAGGAAAAAATATTTTAATCAAGAATGATGTTTTGATTTCATAAATTACTAATTACTATGCATCTGTCCGTCCTAGAATTAGGTTTTTGAGTAAAATTAAAAATGTTACTTAATATCTCGTATGAATTTCTTTTGAGACTATAGATATATAGTATATATATATATATTAAATGCTACTATAGTTTGAAAACATTCTTAATATATAATAGTCTAACACTTCTTTACTTTTCTTGTATTTAATCATCGATATTTAATAATGTTCAATGCCGTTTCAAAAAACAGTATCTTCTGTCTTATTATTTTATCCATTTGGTTTTTTTCCCTTCACTCAGCAGATGATAAACATCCATCAATACTAGATTCACCAATCTTAGACTATAATCCAGAAAAATTTCATACCAATTCATTATCCAATGATGAACAACAAGAAGATCAGCTCATAGATATTAAACAATTAATAACAAGAAATAGTGTGGATCATCTTAAAACAGATAGTATACAGCATATATTAAAAAATATTGGCGTTGGTTATGTTCAACGTATACGTGATAATCAATGTTTAATTGAATACGATAATAATCTATTATCGGAAGGTAAAAGTATAAAAATAAAAGGAAAACTATACAAAGTTGAAGATTGTTTATTGGAGCGTGCTTACAAAGCCTGTGGTACTAATATTTTAAAAATGTTGAATATTGTCTGTCAAATGCTTGATAAATACATGGTAAAATCAAAAGAATCCGTTATTAGACGTCGTTCAGTTTCATCGATTAAATCAGTTACACAATCCTGTTGTCATAGTGTTTGTACAATTTCAGAACTGATACGATATTGTCCACAATAATATTAGAATGTTTATTATTAGCGTCTACTATTATTTGTAAAATCGAAAAGAAATTGAGTGTGTTTTACATCTTATATTTAAGCCTACAATAAATATAATTAGTTAAGAAATGTCACCGTTCTCGTCAGAAGGTATACGTTACACATTTCTCTCATCGAATAAGAAAAAGTGCTATGAATGAATCAGAATCGATTCGACAGACAATTATTAGATATATTATGTAAAAAATTTGGTTTTAGTAAAAAACAGAAAATATGTTTGCACCCAAATCTGGTTATGATGCCGGTTTTTTTGTTAGGAAAACTAGTTCGTAGAGATAAAAAAACAAAACATCTGTCTAAGAAAAAAAAGAGTCAAAATCAAATACATATTTTTCTATTATAAGAGATAAATAATTAATAATAACAAAAAAATAACTGTTACAAACCAGTTAAAATGACATAAACCGTAAGAATAATAACACTAATGTACATAATACAAGAAGAAAAGTATAAATCGAAAAAAGATTAAGGGCATCCTGCCCCCTTTCCTGGATTTCTCAAGAACGACTCCACCAAAAATTCTAGAACTTTCAGGACAGATAGATCTCAACTAGCAGAGCAAAAGTTGTCATAGACTACGAATTTCCAGATGCTTCCTTCTATAAGAAATAGACACAAGGATCAAAAATGAGCTGAAGTGTTCCTCTCCGCAGACATCCAGAATTCATTTTTCATGGCTTAATTTTTTTTGTAACAACTAGAACCAAATCTGGATGTACCGGGTGTCCCAAAAGTCCGGCGAGAAAAAAAATCTTAATAACTCCGCCATTTCTTAACCAAACTTCAAGGTCGCCTTTTTGTTTGATAGAGAAACGCTCCAAGTTTTATTTCATACGACTAGAAATTTTTGTGTAAGAAAGGATCAGTACAGAAAAATAATAAAACTTACAACATATGTTTTCTGTTTAAGTACTTATAATAGTGCGTAAAGATTGTTGAGTTTGTCGTAATTAAATGGAATCTTTGTCAGAGTCGCATTACATCTCATTTTGTAGAACTCAGGTTGCTCTACAATCCCACATATTCAAATGTTTTGTCCAGCTTAAAGTTTTGCCACAAGAAGTTAATTTCTCCATATTAGCATGATCTAGGGATTGCGACTTCTGCAA